AATAACATACAACCTAATGCGAGCGTGGTGCCCATACTACCTAGTGCCAGTTATCTCCTCTGCTTCTATCATTCCCAGTGTTCTATTTTCCTATGTGTACAGGAATGTTCTCTGTTAACTCTGTTTTGCCAGTAGAGTTACAAAATCTTCTAAATACTTAGGAGATCTTCTGGCTCTCTGTGACCTCCTGACTTCTGGGTACCTACCAAGTACCCCTTGACTGAGGGGTGATGTATGCTTGTCCCCCTTGCTACACCCTGGTGATTCCCAAGGACTGTGCTCCAATGCCTGGCCTGCTTGCTTGCTCACCGGGCTCGTCAGGCCAGGGCTTCTTTCTCTGTTTGACCTGGTTGTCCTGCCTGGCTGCAGGCTCTCTGGCCCTCTTAAGTGACTGTCACTGTTGGGCAATTCTGTAGAACCTCCCAGGTCTGTCCTAGACCTGTCAAGAGGTTGTCTTTCCCCTTGTTCCCATTCTGTACCCGGGCTTGTTGGGGTTTCAGTGCTGTCCCAAAACTCAGTTGTCCCCTGAGTGATGTCAGAGGTGTTGTAGTCGGGATTTGGTTCCTCGACCACCTCCCTGTGTGCTTGCCCCCTTCTAGGGACAGGGGTAGTGTCGGGCCAACTAGAGGGAATGTGTGCCAGCTCTCTTGCAGGGTGTGATTTGTTTGGACGCTCCCGGGTATCCTCCCTGACTGGAGTACTGAGTGATGCGGGTGAGTAGTGATTATGCCCCTGGGGTGACTCCCTGGCTGGAGTAGGCACTGGTGCCTGAGTTCTAGCTGGGCTCCGTGAATTCCTGTTTGGAGCACTCGCGGAACTTTGGAATGGGCTGTCTGTAGCCTCCTCGTTAATGATGGGCAGCAGCCCGTACTCTTCCCTTTGCCCTAAAGGGTCCCCCTCCCCCCCGGAAAAGACCCAGGAGTCTCAGTGGGAAGGTCCCGTCTAGTGCGGAGCTGGTCGATGTGTCGAAGCAGGACACGACCGTTGTCCAGAGACACCTCGTAAGACAGAGGACCTGTGACTCTGGATACAGTGGCGGGGACCCATGAATGGCCAGGCCCATAGTTACGAGTCCAAACCGGGGCACCCACAAGCAGTTGTCTAGGTGCCCTGGGGCGTGTGAGTGTGGAAGGAAGTCTGTCCGGATGCAACTGGTCAAGCTTGGTGGTCAGTTTGCGCCCCCAACGAAGTTCAGCTGGGCTCCTCCCGGTAGAAGTAGATGGTGTAGTGCGATAAGAAAGGAGGAAGTCAGCCAACCTGTGATGCCAGTCTCCATAGGTAAGTTTCTTCAAGGCGTTCTTGGTGATGCGAACCTTGAGTTCAGCCATACCGTTGGTGGACGGGTGGAAAGGCGCAGAGGTGGCATGACGAATCATGTTGGTCTGTAAGAAAGCTTGGAATTCGGAAGAAGTGAATTGAGGGCCGTTGTCAGACACGAGGACGTCTGGAAGCCCATGTGCAGCAAAAATCCCCCTCAGTACTTGAATAGTCTTTGCAGTGGTGGTGGAAGAGACAGGTACAACCTCAAGCCATTTTGAATGGCTATCAACTAGGACCAAGAAGAATTGACCCTGAAAAGGCCCAGCGTAGTCAATGTGCACCCTACACCATGGAGACTATGTTTCCTCCCATCTATGTACAGGAGCTTGAGGCATTTCAGGGTGTGAGCGTTGACAAAGGTGGCATGCATGCACCTTAGCTTCAATGTCTCTATCTAACCCAGGCCACCACAAATGGCTGCGCGCAAGCGCCTTCATGCGTACAATGCCAGGATGACCCTTGTGGAGGGAACCTAAGACCCTAGTCCTCATTGAGGTAGGAATGACAACTTTGCTTCCCCAAAGCAGACAACCCTGGAAGGTTTTTAAACTATCTTCTCTTACTTGATTGACTTGATGAAACCTGATGATCTTTAACAGAACAGAACAGGAAAAAAGTTGGAAGGGATCTTGGGGGTCTTTTAATCCAACCCTCTGCTCAGGCAAGAAAACCTGTACAAGTGATGGCGAATCTTTTAGAGACTGAGTGCCCAAACTGCAACCCAAAACCCACTTATGCATCGTTGGGTGCTGGGTGAGTGTGGCCCATTGAGTGGGCGTGGCTGCAGTGGTAACAGCAGACTGGGTGGGAGTAAAAAGTTCAATCAATCAATTCCAACTTTGCAAGATCTTTTTTTTCCCCACGAGAAGTTGAAATTGACTGATTGATTGAACCTTTTTTTTTGTACACGCCGGTGGAAGCCTAAAGCAAAAAGGTTTTATAAAACTCAGCTGAAGGCCTAGGACTGGGGCGACGGCGTGCATGCCCACAGAGAGGGCTCTGAGTGCCGCCTCTGGCACCCATGCTATAGGTTCGCCACCACTGCCCTATACTATTTCAGACAAATTATTGTCCAATCTCTTCTTAAAATCTTCCAGTGTTGGAATACCCACAACTTTGAGAGGCAAATCCTCCCACTGATTAATTGTTCTAACAATTAATTGATATAAGTTCTTGGAGCAGCAGCAGTCTGCGGCATGCCAGAAACCAGTCCACAAGTGAAGCCCCATCTGTGAAATGCAGGCTGCACGTGAAACCATGCCCCCTCCGGTCTGCGGAAAACCCTCTCTCATTGGAACCAGTCCCTGGTGCTCCCAAAAGGTTGGCAGACCCTGATATAAGGGATGGTAGCAGGTTTTAATTTTTTATGTTCTTGACATACACCACAGGTTGGCAACATGCGGCTCCGGAGCCGCATGCGGCTCTTTGAGCCTTCCCCTGTGGCTCCCAGCCTCCTCTGCCATTTGCAGAGAGAGACAGAGACAGAGAGAGGCAATTGCGCTTCCCTGCTTCTCTCTCTTTCTCTCTCTCTCTCTCTCTCTGTGTGTGTGTGTGTGTGTGTGTAAAAGAGAGTGCACTCACAGTGTTCTCCGAGGAGCTGAAAAGCTTACTGGGCGGAGCTCCTCCCTTTGCTGCGTCTCTGCAGGAAGCAGGAAGCAGGCAGGGCAGGAGAGAGCTAGCTAGCCCAGCTAGGCTGACTCAGGAATTCTGGGAGTTGAAGTCCATGAGTCATAAAAGAGACGAGGTTGCTTATCCCTGAGCTTGTTGGACAACAGCTTGAAGCTTGCCAGGTGAGCAGCAGATAGGAGGGGGGGAGAAAGAGAGAGAGAGAGAGGGAAGGAGAGAGAGAGGGAGAGAGAAGAAAGAGAGAGAGAAAGAAAGAGAGTGGGGGGAAGAGGAGTGGCAGACCAAGGGCAGATAGAGAGGGAGGGAGGGAGAGAGACAGAGAGAGAGAGATCCTTTTGACATCTAAAATGAGATAACACTGCCTATATCCTTTTTTACCTGTAGTGTGTATGTAAATTGTTATTCTCTTAAAGCATTCTCTTGGTGTCATTGTTTTAATAGTATGGATTTCCCAAGAGTGATATTTTTACTTTTTATTTTTAATGTGTGTTGTGTTGTGTATGTATATATAGATATATATATACATGATTATAATATATTATATATATATATATATATATATCAGGTCTTTGGTTGTTCGGGTTTTCTCTCCCACGTAAAATTGTGAAGTGTCTTGCGCCGTTTTCGACGAAGTTCGCCATTCGGCAACAAAATTTATCATTTATATTATATAATATCCAATTCTTTTTCAGCAGGAGGAAGGGAGCTGTGCTTTCAGCTTCGTGCCCTCGAGCAGCATTGCTGAAAGCACCAGCACTGAAGATGACTAAGGGGACTCGTCGAAACGTCGCCAATACACTTCAATTTACGTGAGAGAAAACCCGAACAACCAAAGACCTACATACAAATACCCGCGAAAAACCTCAAAAACAACTATAGATATATATATATATATATATATATATCTAATATATATATATCTATATATTTGTTTCTGAGTTTTCCGCGGGTATTTGTATGATAAGGTCTTTTGGTATATATATATATATATATTATATAATATATAGAGTATAATATATATATATATATACACCAGCCTGAAGATACGAATGTGACTCCGTCGAAACATGCAGACACTTCCAATTTTTACGCGGGAGAAAACCCGAACAACACAAGACCTTATATATAATATATATATATATTTGTTTTTCTGAGGTTTGTCGCGGGTATTTGTATGGTAGGTCTTTGGTATATATATATATTATAATATATATAATATAAGTATATATTATAATATCACATACACACACACACACTCATAACACACACACACCACACACCTATAAGTAAAGGTAAAAAAGGATATATGCAGTGTTATCTTCATTTTAGATATCAAAAGGGTTTTGCGGCTCCCGGTGTTTTGTTTTTGGTGGGAAACGGGTCCAAGTGGCTCTTTGAGTGTTTTGGGTTGCCTACCCCTGACCTACACCAAAAATGACATACTGCTAATGATATACTGATGGTTAATAGGTAGTGGAGTCAACGAATACACGGGATGTCCAGTTATATAGGGCATAATGTAATGCACAGGAAACATCTGTTTCGGACATATGGTACAGATGAGGATATTTTGCCAGAAACATGACTAGAATAAATTGTTCTTGTTTCCAATTAACTGTTGGAATATCGCAATTAGCACCAGCTGAAGATGAGTCAAGCTATGCTCTAGGACAGGGGTAGGCAACCTTGGCTCTTTTATGACTCGTGGACTTCAACTCCCAGAATAAACCTAAATTGGGAAACCTTTCAGTGAAGTATGTAAGATCACTGAAACCACAGAGTTGCTATCAGTGGCATGATACGCTCTGACTAAAAGGGGACACGTAAATTTAGTTTAGCATTTTGATGCAGTCAGAGATTTCAGCAGTTCTGGATTCATCGATTTCAATAAGAATGATCCAGCTGACATAATTTATGAAGATACAACAATGTAAGTTATGAATCAGCCACTGTCACCAGAACACTTCTGTAAAGAAAGTGCCACTAACCCCTTCATACTATATAAGTTGCATCTCTGTCTACTTGCTGTGTTTTGATTAGTAGAAAAAAGCGCATATTTTTATTTATTTATTAAATGTATATTTTGATTGTAGAATTACCCAAGTGGGGAACTAGCTGTCCTGACAGATTTTTCTTTTCAGTTCACATACAGATTTTTTACCACCAGGTGAAGATTTTTCTGTTTCAGAAGCTGTTGATTTGCTTTCCCTTTGTCCCATGTCATCTTGGTGCAGGAGAAATATTGGGTAAAAATGAAAATTTCAATTAAACCCAAATAAGATCTTTTTGGGAAGATTTTACCCTTCAATCATCTTCTGGATGCCTCAGCTTTCTTGGAGTAGAAGGTCTTCCTTATAGCCACATTCAGATCAGTGCTGTTATTGAACAGTTATCTAAATACTTAGTGGAGTTTTGAAGTTGAACTATAATAAAATACAACAACAACAACAACAACAACAACAACAATGAAGTTGGAAGGGATCTTGGAGGTCATCTAGTCCACCCCCCTGCTCAGGCAGGAAACCCTATACCATTTTGGACGAATGGCTGTCCATAGTGTTCCAAAGTGTCAGTTCAGCAGTGGAAGCTTTTAATCCACATGTGTTGATGTGGAAAACACTGTACTTTGCTTCTGTCCCTGTATAAATCTGGAATTTATTTATAATGGTCAGGTATCATACCTTTCCCAGTCCAAAGGAATGTCAGAACTTTTTTTTAACATTATCCATTTCATAAAGGATGGGAGGTTCAGATGGTTTAGATCTAAAAATACCCTGAATCAATTCTGCATGTGTGAAATGTTTCAATTATTTCTAAAACATTTCTAACAGATTCCAGACTGAACAATCAAAGTGTTTACAGAGTAATTGGGGCATACTGTGCCTTTTAAATATTAGTATACCACATTACTACTGACACATGTTAGAATATACTTTTGAAGTAGTACCAAATTCTGTGGCAAAGGTGAGAATCATAGGACCGACAGCACAGTAGCAGCTATGCATTTCACCCATCAAATGACAGGACAGACTAGCTCCTTGCTAAGATGGGAATGCACCTCTACAACGTCCACAAATGTATTGTGTTGCAGGATGTCTATCTGTGAATGATTAATAGGTGGCACTCAGATGCCTGTTATGCATGGCTACAATCTGCATCAAAGAGGTTGTCCGTAACTACTAGTCCTCATTAATTTCCTATTATAAACTAAATATTTCTGTCCACTTCAAAGGAATTCTTGAATTTCATTTGTTCAGGGGAAAAGCTAGAACAATGCAAGTCACTGTTTGGTATGAATTCTCTTCCAAATGCTCACACAATGTTATGGTCAATGGGGAACACCATCTGGTCCTTCCACCCCCTGCCCACTCAGAGGCATTTCATACACTACTAGACCAAATAAAATTTAGATCTGTCCTCCAGTGTATATATAAGGTCCCAGAGGCAAATTACATTTTGTGGAATTGTTTATATGATACACATTTATATGATACACACATACACAAGGAAGGAAGGAAGGGAGGGAGGGAGGGAGGGAGGAAGGAAGGAAGGAAGGAAGGAAGGAAGGAAGGAAGGAAGGAAGGAAGGAAGGAGACAGAAGGAAGGAGAACAGAAGACAGAAAACAACCTAATTTATTTATCCATCAATATTTCTTAGGGAATGTACACTGACCTTATATTCTGTAGCCTTCACCTTCTTTAGATCTTTCCCCAACATAGGGACAATACTGGGAGTAGGGGCTGTTTAAGTGTCCAGCAATGAAAGTAGGCCAAGTAGCATGACCCCATCATCCCCAGCCATCCACTTGACAATGCCCTGAGGGAAAAAAACATTTGATTATATCTTATACGCTTGGGGAGGGGGGATTAAACCTTATGCATTTTGGGGGAGGGAGTCATTGCAATATTAAAGGGACAGATGCCAGAGGAAACAAATGCAATAGGAAATTTTGAGACTTCCTGCAGTAATAACAATTAACCTGCCTCTCCAGGTATAGTTGCCCCCCCACCCTGTTGCTCTTCAGGAAGTTGCTGAAAACATTGTTTTCACAGGGGAGCATGAATAGAGATGGAGCCTATCAAGTGACTGATTTGATTGTGTTATTACTGTCATGTGGGGTAGGGTAGGATTTTTTAAATCGTTTTTTATTATGTGGTGGATTTTTTAAATGTAAGCTGCCTTGAGTCACCTATGCATGAGTCAGGCAGCTATATAAATGCGTTTACTAAATAAATAAAATTATGTTAACCAAAAATATATTGTGGCAAATCAAAAAAATGAACTCCAACAGCTCTAGATGGAGAAAACCTTTTGATCTCCACTCCTTGCTTCCTCCTCTGTCCAATACAGGTAATCTTTATTTAGTGGCCATCTCATACAGTGACCAACTGCAGTTACAAAGGTCATAAAGAAGTAACTTTAAGACCAATTTTTGGGTATTGTTTTTTTTTTTTTTACTTTTGCAAGTCTGTAAAGCAAAGAAAAGCTGAAGTAGGACCATAAGCACAGTCACAGTTTTACTTAGCGACTATTTCACTGTACAACTCAGTTGCCAGCCCTAACTATGGTTGTTAAATGAGGACTGCATATATTTTGAACACAAGACTGAGTCCCTGTACTAGACCCTATTCTTGGAGCCACAGGGGCAGCTGCAACCCTGTGGGCTGACAACCCCTCCCCAGTTCCCCCTACACTGAGCATACAGCCTGTTCTCACACAAAGCTTTGCTTCCCTGGGGCTCCAGAAGAGAGAGATCAGACCAGGCTGTCAGTTATCCTCTACAATGGCTTAAATTGTTGACAGCTGCCATGCAACATCTAGTGTTTTTGTTTCTGACTTGTAAAATCTAAAACATAAAAGCAAGCTAAACTAAAATAAAAATGTCAGTAAGACATTTCTCCCTCTCCTTAGCAAAAGGCAGGCCATATTTTCATGGAGCTTTCAGACCTATTTGGAAACATGAGGAAAACATATTTTTTCTCTTATCCCTTTTATCTGTCTGGGGAATATTACGTTTTACAATTCCCCAGATGATGGAAATGAACTCATTTTCGGTCTTAGCTCATATAACTTTATCCCATTTGGAGAAACAGAGTGAAAATTCCCTGCGAAACAAAGGTTTTTCTTAATTTTTTTTTATTTTTCACAACTCCAGTCTGGCCTATCTAAACATCTGTGGGTTTTTCCTCTTATTGAAAGTCCATCCATATCAACTTTGCTTCTCATTAACACTCAATAGCTACATTTAGCTAACATTATCACATTGAGATGAGACAGCACTGTTCTTAAATGCTTTTTAAGATTCTTTTCTCCTTCTAAGATTAATTTAGAGCACACTGTTGTATGTGTAACTACATGGTGCAATGTCTTGCTCCTGGACAGGTGTCAATCTCATACTAAAAAATTACTTTTGTATCCTAACAACTGATGATAATTATGATGATAATAGTAATAGCACTTAGACTTATATACTGCTTCATAGTGCTTTACAGTCCTCTTTAGGCAGTTTTACAGAGTCAGCACATTGTGCCCAACAATCTGGGTCCTCATTTTACTGACCTTGGAAGGATGAAATGCTGAGACAACCTTGAGCCAGTAAAGGTCAAACTGCTGGCAGTTGGCAGAATTAGCCTGCAATACTGCATTCTAACCACTGTCGCACCACGGCTCTAAATAATATCTGTTTAGGCTTTTGGAAAGCCATAAAGACTTGGCTCTTCCCCTAACTCTTGGGCTAGGATGGGATATGAGTCTGGAGGCTAAATGTCTGGTTCTTCTGGCATCTAGTGAATATCTCAAGATAATCTGCTAGGGATCTGTGTTTATTTAATAGAGAGGGTATAACAAGAATGCTATGGGTTTAAACACTGTTGCTTTGGCAAATAATGATATCTAAAAGGAAATGTGAGATATGTTGTTATCAGCTCTACTATTTTCACAACAGATCCATGCCTTTCTTGTCATACTCCACAAATGAGCATTTGCAAAATGGTAAGATTTATTTCCCACTCAAGATTAAAACTATGCTGAAAGAGAAGTATATCCAATATTTGCAAATGCTTTGGGCAAACTATCTAATACATGCATACATACATACATAAATACATACATACGTGAGCCATGTTGGCACAATGGTTAGAAATGCAGTATTACAGGCTAACTCTGCCCACAGTCTGCAGGTTGATCCTAACTGGCTCAAGGTTGATTCAGCCTTCCATCCTTCCAAGTGTTATGTCCTGGGCCTGCAGAAAGGCCCGGGCAGACCACGTAGATGCCCGGGACCAGACAGGCTGTCCCCAGCCTATTGCGCATGCGCAAGGCGGGAGAAATACATTGCATTGATTGGTTGACAATGTCCCTGCAAAGGGATATAAAAGGAATCCGCGCCATTTTGTTTTGGTTCTGTTGGTGAATTGAATAAAGACAAGACTGTTTGTTACTCTGCCTCATTTCAATGCCTTTGCGATCGAAACAGAATACCAAGGTTGGTAAAATGAGGACCCACATTGTTGGGGGCAATATGCTGACATTTATAAACCACCCAGAGAGTGGTTTATAAGGCCTTGTAGAGCAATATATAAGTCTAAGTGTTATTGCTATTGCTACATACACACAGAATCAAGTGACTTTTATTCTGAAGAAAATAATGATTAGTATTTTTAAAAAGCCTGAACTCAGGACACACAAGCCATTAAATTCTCATTCATACCAAAAGCATTTTGATTAAGAAGTTTGTACAATGTGTTATTTCTTTATTTCTTGTGTGGATGTAATAGCAAACAGCTTCAAAAGTACAGGCAAAATCTAATTCCTACTTTTTATAGAGATGCTAACTGCTCGTAATATGACACATGGAGAGCTGCTGAAGGCTTTTCTGGCGACATCCAAAACCACAGAAAACAAAGAAACGTGACCCTGGGGGTTCTGATAGTGATTATAAAATAGGCAAAGCATTTGACTTTCATTGCAATAGATTCTTTAAAGAAGCAATAGCTGCTCCATTTAGAGCCGGGAGTTGGAAGGGCTGATGATGTCAAGGCAGTGGTGGGATTCGGTCAGTTTGCACCAGTTCAGCAGAACCGGTAGCTAATTTTTTGTTGCCCAGGCCCAAAATGGACTTCTGGAAGCGGCATCCACACAGAAAACCGGTTGTTCACATATTTGAATCCCACCACTGTGTCAAGGGATAAGGCTTTGAGGAGGAAACCCCATTCTAACTCCCTAATTTCCTTCCTGCTTTGTAAGCCCTTCTTTCCTACTGCATAAAGGAAGCCTGGACCAAGAACCACATCTATGGTTCTTCAACTTTCCCTATTTAAATTGCTCAGTGACTTATCTTATGTGAAAAAATGCATGTGACTAGACCTGATCTATGAACCCTGATATTTTAGTAGTTTAATGGAAACTCCTTCTATCTTTAGCTATGCCATATTTCCAAAGAGGCGACGCATGGCATGGCATGGCCACAGTCTTCCAGCTGGAGCATTACTTGGATGGCCCTCATAAATCTCTGTGCTTCATCTTTTGCTTTTGCAGAAGACATGGGAAGTTAAGACATCACCAAGTTTCCAAGCAGCTGAAAAATGGCACCGAAAAAAGCACTGGAGGAATTTCAAACGTTGGAGGAGTTTCATTAAAAATGCATTTGGGTACAAAAATTCTTATAAGTAATCTTCCAGAGAAGGCAAAAAAATAAAAAAAATAAATCACACTTTCTTTGGAAACTCTGCTTAGGAGAGACATAAGCAGAAAAAATAGTGTGCAAAAATTTTAAAAAGTTGCATACAAAATGAATGTAATAGAGGAAACCATATATAATGTTTTGGAAAATATGTGGAACTTCTATGTTTAGTATTCACCAGAACATTTGGAAGACTTTGCGTTTGGTAATGAAAGGGATGTACCCATTTACCTGCTTGTCTATGGAGACGCTTCAAAAATGAAGAAGCTTCTTGGATGAGAAGTGAAGCATTTTCAAGGGGAAAAAAACCCCAAGAAAGTCAGTTGCCTTTTGAAAAAGGACTTTTGGGACATTTCCCACTTCTTTTTCTTCCCGACCTCTCTCCAATTAATCAGAAATTTGTTTGAAATTCTCTTAATGTGATCTGGGACCCAGTTCTATAAGAATTCTAGATGATGTTCAAGCCAATATCTTGTGTTTAGACCTCCCAGCTGAACATTTGAAAACTGGGAGCAATATTGAGTAGGCTGAATGTGCAAGCCAGTTTTTTCTCCAGTTTGAAGCACAACACTCTTCAATGAACGTCTGTAACTACTCTAAAGGCAATCAATTAATGAGTGAAGGTATGACATGGCCAACCCACAAAATAACTAACTCCAGTAAGATAAAAACTGCATGGTGAGAAATTATTTTAACTGCTACACCTCAGTTGCTTGAAATCTCTTTTTAATACTAGGCATCTAACCAGGCATTACAGTCTTTGGCTAGAGTTTTTTATGTTTTTAATCTTCATGCTCAAGGTTTATAGTGTTGGATGCTGTTTGATCTCTTTACCTTAAGTGTACATGAACACCCATCTATTGATGATTGTAGCAACCATTGTGTTGCGCAATGTTTGTAATGATTCCTGAGAAAGGCTGCATGGATGTTCTTTTGCTTGCTTGCTTACAAATGTGTTTATGCCTCTTCAGTCAATGAGACACTAAGCAAATCATTCTGATTGGCTCGGTTACATTCTGTGTACTAGCAGACAATCTGTCTGAAACAAAGTATTGATGGAGGGTGGGCAAGCAGGCAGAGAAAACATTCTGCTTAGATCTGATCCAAATCACCCACAAGGAGAAACTCCTGAAGT